AAAGTCCTCCTCCATCCATTGCTTTGATGTTTATGCTATGACTACTTTCCCTTTCATAATCAATCTGTCCCCTAACAGTGATTTCTCCAGTCCTTTCATTTAACTGGAACAAATTATTTATTCGTTCAGGCACTCGATGGAATGAGTAGAGGATCTGTGCATTTGAACCAAAATCAGGATCTCTAGCCTCCACCTTAATCAACAGTGTGCCCTTAGAAAGATTTTCCTTTATCCTTACCTTATATTCAGATTGAGAAAATTGAGGAGAGTTGTCATTTATATCTAGAACATCAATATTAATTTGAACAGTGCCTGTTTTTTGTGGCACTCCTCCATCAATGGCCATCAGAGTTAACTGAAGATGAGGCATCTTCTCCCTGTCTAGTGGTTTCTGCAGAATAAGGTCAACATTTCTTTTTTCATGTTCATCAGTCTGTACTTCTACTGTGAAATGTGAATTTTTAGTGAGTGTGTAATTTTGGATACCATTTTTTCCTAGATCAGCATCTTGAGCAGATTCCATCTGAATTCGGGTATTCACTGGGACATGTTCTGATATTTGCATAGTAAACGTATTTTTTGTGAAGTTAGGAGCATTATCATTCACATCTTCGACTTGTATTTCAATACTATGAAATTTCAGTGGGTTTTCTAGAACAATTTGTGATAAAATTAAACAAGGCTCCTTTTGACCACATAAAGCTTCTCTGTCTATTTTATCATTTATCAACAAATCTCCATTTTGGATATCAAGGTGGAAATATTCTTTAGTGTTGTCAAAAATTAAACAGGCTCTGCGAGTAGAGAGTTCTCCTTTTTTCAATTGCAAATCCTGCAATATATTAGCCACTACAAACCCATTTTTCTTTTCTTCAGGGACAGAATAATGAACTGAAATACATAGTGTTCCAAAAAGATTGAGGAAAAGCAAAAGATACAGACCTTGTTTGTCCTTGAGGAAGTGATCGTCCATTGTGTAGGAAATTTCTTTATCTTCAATGTTTTCTCCAAATGTTACCTTCCTAATTTTTATCCAGTGAAAATGCCTGCTGACAAGAAAAACCTGCTTTGTTTTGTAATGTGGATATTTGATTCCACTGAAATTTTGCTCATATTCTGTGGAGTTTTTGCTTCATTCCCTAATTTCACCTCTAATAATCATTTCCTCAGCATTCCTCAAAGACAACAATCTGAGTGTCTATTAATATGTTAGCCTGTGCTGCCACTATGTGGCTGAACAAGGAAACAAATCACTACTATGTTTCTAATTGTATGGCACCTGATTGCACAACAGACGTACCTTGAAAATCTGAGATATATTACTTAATAGTTTGGAACATATTTTTTAAATTGCAGCAAAAGTTAGTAAAGTTTCTGTGAAAACAAGCTTATGATCTTTAACTGAAAAAGTATTGAATGGTTTGTGTTATAAATACCCAGACTTTTATTTTCACTCTCACTACCTTTTGAATTGTCTTTAATTAAGAAAAAGATAAAATTTGACAATGGGATATTTATGTGAAATTTCCAGTTAAATTCTTTTTTTCTTATTTTCTTATTTTGTTGATAAAGATCTTCTAACATGGAAAATAATTTAAAGTATATCTGGGAACCTAGTCCAAGTGTTCATTTCTTATTTCTCTGTGTTTTAGTTGATACTATTAACTTTTCTACTTGCAGAAATACTTTGGAAAGTCATAATCATAGAAATGTACAAATTACTTAGAATATTCAAGAAAAGTAAAATCATTAATTTCCTTCAATTTATAAAAGGAAAAAGAATACAAAGCATTTTAAGGTATGTGTATGTTACAATAACAAAGAAAAAGAGAAGCATTCTGAAGTCAAATTTATATATATATTTAAATGTATTAAATTCAGCTCTACACTTTACACAATAAATTAGAACAAATTCAATAAAAAGTAAAAATATTAGTGCAATGCAAAATTCCCAATACCATTTTCAAATTCACCATAAAGCAAACCAACGAACAAACAAAAACCACCAAAATTATTCTCAGCTGGCTGGCATACAAATTTCTTCTCTACTTCATGACCAAAAGGTTCTGCAGATTTAATCTGGAGATTCATGTGAAAGCTAGTAGGATCCATTGAAAACAGGAGATGGGGGTCTGAGTAATCTAAACTCATTATTCAAAGATCCACCAACTAAACACACCTCATAATTATAGGCCTCGAAAATATGCATCAAATTAGAATCTCCACAATTCTTATGCAAATGTTGTCTCACAGGGAAATTAGATGCAGAATTAGAGCTGTCTATGAATTTCTGTCACATTTGAAACTTGGTTGCAAGAAGCACCATGATAGAAAGGAAGAAAATGGATGAGATGGTGACCAAACAGATTGTAAGCACTGGACTTTTCCCCTTCAACCGAAAAAAAAAAAATGAACTTCTGAAAGCTAGGCACTTGAAAAGGAATTCTTTATTGAAAGGAAGTGATCCCAGTACTAGTCAAAGCAGAATCTAAGATGCTTCCAGGCATATAGTAATCGATAAAGGGAGTTAAAACCCCTACCCTTATTTAGTTGTGGATTTAGTCAAAAAAAGAACCAATATGTTAATTCCCCCCTCCCCTTTTCTGGGAACGTATCTTAGAAGAGTTTCCCAGGGAGTATCTTCCAGGATGGAATTTTTATGGTCCCTTCTCCTCTTGCTATCTCTCCAAGAGGTGACAAGTTTCTAGACATCTGGCTCCAGTCCTCCAGTTGTATATCATGTGCAAGTTGTGCAGATTCAATATAAGATTTAATATATTCAGGTTATATCAAAAAGGATTACTTGTACCAACCCCCCCCCCCTTATTCTTCCATTGAAGAATGGCAGTTACACGAATCTGAAACAGATAATTAAATACATTGATAGTTTATGATCTCCCTCATGTGGAATTACACTATTGGGATTGTCTATAATTTTCATGTAAGGATCAGAGAAGCCATCTACTAAAATAATTCTTAGGGTCACAGAGGCAGACAGAGGAGGATGCCCATTATCCCTAACTGTCCCTAACTGTCACAATAAGAGTGTGTTTGAAACTGTCTTGGATGTTCACCAGCCTCATGGTTTTCACCTCTCCATTCTGAGTCCCAACAGCAAAGAGATTCAGATCTGTGGCCTTCAGCAACTGATAGGAAAGCCAAGAATTCTGCCCTGAATCTCTGTCCACTGCCACCACTTTGGTGACTAGGTAGCCTGTCTCTGCTCCCCGGGGAACCAGATCATTTGATGGAGAAATGCTGTTCTGAAGGGGGCAAAGGATGAAGGTGACAATGTCATATTCATCTGTGATAAGAACTTGGTCCATCGTTTCTGAGCTCAGTGGAGGCAAGCCTTTGTCTACAGCTCTCACCATCACCTGGAAATTTGGTATATTCTCATAATCTATGGATCGAATGGCATACAAGTTCCCAGTTTCAGAGCTGATGGAGATGAAAGATGGAGCTGGGCCATTTCTGATCTTCCCAGGCAAAAGCTAATAGGTCATTTTGACATTCTACTCTGTCAAATCAAAATGGAATCATGTATCAAATTGGAATCATGTATGAATCCAATGAACAGACCTTGAAATTGTTTTCTTGTAAGTGGAAATTATAAAAAGATTTTTCATATACCAGAGAGTTATTGATATATGAAATAGGAATAGTAATAATTCTCATTGAAGTGAGTCTGGGAGAGCCTTGGTCAGTGGCTGTAATGATATTATATTTTGTGCTGTCCCACTCTCACAGACACACAACATAGGTGTTAGGCGTCTTTATTAAGGCTTCCAAGCCTGAGTTAGTATTCTTCAGCAATTCCCTTTGCTAGCATCAGCCCACCCCCAATGAGTTCAACAGGCTACAACACAAAGACATGGCAAGTCCAATAGGCAAAGGCAAGTCCACAGGGTCAGTCCAGAGTTGAAGAGGCACATCCGAAATTCAAGACAACAATCATGACAGCTGACACAGCAAGGAAATGACATACTGTTCTCAGCATCATTTCACTCCTCTTGCTGAGCTAAACAGCTGCTTCTTGGTGCAGCCAGTCAAGAGGGGGCAAGGCTGCTTCCTCACAAGTAGCTTAGCTGACCTTTATTGTGTTTGCTTCCTCTCAGCCCTTCATGCTCTCCAATTGGGAGGAGGAAGCAGTTCCCATTCCTCTCCACTGACCAGCTGCAGCTGTGTGCTGTCTTCACCCAAAGTCTCTGGGCTTCCCAACTGCACCTGTCTCTAGCTCAGGCAGCTGCTTGTCTGGTCACTCCCCTGGGCTTGGCCATTCCACTCCTGGCTTGTAGCCCTTGGCTGCTTCCCCTCCTGATGTGCCTGTGATCAGCTCATCTTCCTTTGAACTAACATCTGGAGAGGTATCTGCAGAAGCGTCCAGGGGAGTCATCATACATTTGTTCTCTGTCCAATGGCTGTTGAATCACAAGCTGGTAATAATTGTTTTTTGTGGATTTTATGATAAAGGGCAGGTTTGAATCAATGTTGCAAGTAGTTCTGCTGTTGTCACCAGAGTCCTGATCACTGAAAACAGCCACTACTGTTCCTAGAGAAGAACCTTCTGGTATGGTGACAGATGATAGGGTCATTTCTGGGCTGTTGTCATTCTCATCCTCAATGTCCATATGGACTTTACAGTCATGCTTTATTTTTAGTTATTTAAGCTTTGATATTTAGGCTTTGATATTTAGTTCATATTTGCCATTTTTTTCATAATCAACTTTCCCTACAAGAGTAATTTCTCCAGTATGGTTGTTTAACTTGAATGATATGAGCACATTTCCTGGTAAAATGTAAGTGATGTGAACATAAACACCCTTATCATCAAATGCATCAATAGAATAATTTATTTGCTTTTAACCTTAGAAAGAAAAATCACTGCCAAGTAAAAATAAGATATTGTACAAATTGGGGATATTACAAACTCCAGTTTTATTTTTGTTTTGGAGTAGATACTTTGACAAGTCTGAAATTCACTTCCTGCCATGGAAATTTTAAATTACAAATTAACAGGGCATCACTGTCTCCAATCAGTGTTTATGTCAATCACTGCCAGCACTGATCATGTTAAAACCCAGGAAATCTAGAATAGGCCTTTCTTTTGGAATGGATAGAAAGGTGACCTCCATTTTTCCTTACTGTGTATCTCATATACCAACAGGGTAAATAACACAGACAAATGGCTGTCCAGTCTCTTCTTGAAAGCCTCCAGTGTTTGAGCATTCTCAACTTCCAAATGCAAACCATTCCACTGGTTGGTTATTGATTGTTGGTTGTTCTCACCATTAAGAAAAATCTTAGTTCTAGGTTGCTTCTCTCCTTTATTAGTTTCCATCTATTATTTCTTGTCTTGCCTTCAGGTGCTTTAGAAAATAGTTTAACCCTTCAACTTTTGCAGCTTCTCAAACATTGGAACACTGCTACCACATCATCCACGTGGACTCCAAGATCCCTCTCAGAATTATTGGCATTAAGCCCATTTAGTCTATATCTGTAAATTTGGATTACAGTGCAAAACTGTAAGCGCAAAACCTTACTTTTACCTATACTGAACACCTATATTTCATTTTGTTAGATAGGGCACAGTGTTCAAGTCAGTTGAGATCCTTTTGGATCTTGAGCCTATCTTCTGGGGTGTTGGCTATTCCTGCCAGCTTAGTGTCGTCTGCAAATTTGAAAAGTTCCCCTTCTATTCCCTCATCTAGATTGTTTATGAAGGTATTGAAGAATACTGGGGTTAAAACAGAACTTTGTGGTACCCCACTGATTACTTCCCTCCATGTAGACATAATGCCCTTAAGGACTACTCATTGAGTACAGATTGTCAGCCAGTTACAAATCCATCTAAGCTGATTGGTCTGTAATTTTTGGATCTTATTTTTTCTTTCTTTTTTGAAGATGGGAACCACATCAGCACTTTTTTAATCCTCAGGTAGTTCCCCAGTGCTCCAAGAACTTTGAAGGACA